AAGGCCTACATACTTAGACACTAACAGAATAAACCAAATGCCCCATACATGCATGTTTTTTCTCTATTTCGATTCTAAGAGAAGACTGAGCTATCTTTCAAGCAACCAAGTCAGAGATCAATAACAAGAGACCCATCATCTTAGTCGGATTGTTAACAGAGTACAAAATCTACGCTTCATTGGCACATAGAAAAAAACCCAGATTAAAAAAATTCTTCTTTCTTATAGTTTCTTTTGAGTTGTAATCTACGCTAATTATAATTCAAAGACCTGAAACAATGCCCGCTAGGATAAAAATGCTTGTGGACAATGACTTTGAATTTCTTCTAGTTTACTGTAAACATGTTTTGGTTCTTCATGAAAGAATCCTACCAACGCAATGCATGACTTGTCAATTTTAGTCCTACAAAATAGACTTTTTGCCCTAAAGTAAATTGTGAAATATGTCTCCAACTAATCTATTCAACTATCTAATTTTTCTGCATCAACCATACTGTCAAACATAAGAATATTTATCTTTGCCTTCACTTTGAAAGATTGCATGGTTATAGAACCAAAACTAGTAGAAGTAGTTCCTTTTTCTTCTTTTCCTCCATCATCTAAAACCACTAGTTTCTTTGATTCGGCAGATTTAACAACCTTTGCAGAATCTTCAGCGCTTGGTTTAGAAGAAGAGAGATTTAGAGAAATCTAAAATGGCACCTTTTCTACAAAAGTGCTCAAAGAATCCATGCGTACCTCTAACCTAGCCATCTATGATGCAAGATCATTTTCTACCATTCATTGAGGTACTATTTGATATCTTAACTTGAGCTCTTGATTTGACCTAACTGCTATATGATATGATCTTTGTCGATTGTGACCATGCACAGTAAACACCCATGGCAGGATCTTATTAGATGTGATACCAATTTGATCCACCCGACATATCATATGGAACAAAGAGAAGGTAGAAGAGAATTATAACTACAAAAAATAAAACACAAAGGCAAGTTTTTTGGTGGAGCGAGAAATGCTCTACGCCTATAATTTTATTGTATTGCTTCTCAATTAACTTGATTTAAATATTACAATTCATCTCTTTAAATTGAGATCTCAAATCTAAATAGCACTCAAATTAGAGTAACTATATGAGTATGACTTGCTATTTAAATAGAATTCTCTTGTAGAATTTCTATTGAAACAACACCTAATTGAATAAGACTATAACTTGTAATCAATTAGAACTTCTACTAAATCTGGAATTACAAATTGTTAATTATAATAAGACTTATACTCCTAATACAAATAGGATTTGTACTCCTATTACGAATTGAACTTATAAACCTAGCTATAACAGGACACTATACTCCATGTTGTGATAAGATTCGTACTCCTAAATTTAATAGGATTCTACATGGTGCTATAATTTAATCTCCTTGTTGGCATAGACTATAAGGTGCTGTAATTTTAATCTCCTTGCTTGAATAGAAGGATCCCCTTAGATCAAAATCTGGTGTACTAGGAAACTTAAAATTATTTACTTTATCGAAATATACAAGATGTCGATTAGTTAAACAAACTACCCTACTATTCGCATCCAATAATATTATTATTTTAGCCCTATTTGATTTGATTCATTCTGTTATCTAGGGACCTACCCTAATGTCATCATTTTCCCATTATTGTTATTATGTTAGTTTTATTGATAATTATTCTCGCATTTAGTTCTCATATTTTAGACATTTATAAAGATTTTAAATACATGTTTCATACACAGTTCCATAAATGCATAAAAGTATTTCATTCTGATGGTGCCTGTGAATATACCTCTTCAACAATATAGTATATTTTAAAATCACATAGCACTCTCTCAGCAATCTTGTCCACACACTCCTAAACAAAATGGTATTGTTGATGGAAAATATCTTCACATCCTTGACACTGCTAGAGCTCTTCTAATTTAGGCATCAACTCCTCACATTCTATGGGCTGAAGCACTACTGATAATTATTTATCAAATCAACATCACTCCATCTTCTGTAATAGCTAGTATTTCTCCACATTTTCAACTTTGGAAGTTTCAATTTTACTATTCTATTCTTCGCACTTTTGGATTTGTTTATTTTGTCTTACTTTCGACTAATGAATGAGATAAAATATCTCCACACACTGTACGATGTATCTTTATTGGCTATAGCACAGTTTACAAAGGGTATTGTATTTATTAACCTGCCACTTGAATGCTTCATAATGCGCGGAGTGTCACTTTCATTGGGAATATTCCCTACTACTTGACTTCAGGATAATCTCTCTTTTCTTCAACCTCCTTCATCACCTTCCATTACTAAACCTATACTATTTGCACTTGTTCCTCCTTCTGCTCAGCCTACTACTTTTTTTTACTCCGCTGGCATCTAGTGATGATTCTTTTAAGTCATTCACAACATTATAGACTTCCACCTGCTACCTCACTTTTGCTATAAGATACTCTTTCTGTAGATGTCCTCTCTATGTCTGTGCTAACTTCTTCGGATGTGACTCTTCCTCCTCATCACAATCACCTACGAGATCATCATCCCCTGCTCAGTATGATTAGTATGCCACTAGTAAAATTTCTTTTGAAGTTTGTCTCTTTTCTCGCTGCTTTTCATTCTATACATGCAATGAATAAAGAATTGGAGGCTTTCCACAGGACTCTACTTAGGAACTTGTTCCTTTATCCTCTGGTGTTAAACTGGTAAGTTACAAATTGTTTTATAAGGTCAAAACTCTTTAAGATGGTTCTATTGAGCGGTACAAAACTAGTTTTGTAGACGGGGGTTTTCTCAAGAATATAGTATTGACTATGAAGAGACTTTTGTTCGTGTTGTAAAGATGATCCATGCTCACTCTCATTATTATTGTTGCTACCAAACACTGGTCACCATACTAAATTGATGTTAATCTCTTCTGTCTATTGGCTTTACTGAGAGTCTAGCAAGCTACACATTATTCTATCAGTCATCAACATATGGCATGGTTATTCTTGTACTTTTTATTGATGATGTGATAATTACTTGGAGTGATTCTTTTACCATTACTTCATTGAAGCAGTATCTTCAAAGTTAGTTTAAGATGAAGGATCTTGAATATCTTCATTACTTCTAGTGTATTGAGGTCGCCGCCTCCTCTCATAGCTATCTCCTCTCTTGGCAAAAGTACATTTCCAACATTCTTAAATGTGCTGCACTCAGTGATCCTCCTATTGCTACAACTCCTTCCACTACAATGAAGTTAAACTTGAAGCTTTGACATATGAGGGCGATCCTTTATCTCACCCCACTCAATGTCAAGAACTTATTAGAGCTTTGATTTATCTTTATGCTACACGTATGGACGCTACTTATGTGCTACAAATCTTTAGCCAATTTATTAGTGCTCAATCTATACTCACTGTGAGGCTCTAGTAAGGTTTCCATTATTTTCATGGAGCTATATTCCGATCATTGTTTTTTCCCATCGAACTCATATTTGTCTATTCGTGCATACTGTGATGCTGGATGGGCCGACAATTCAGACACTCGACGTACCACCACTATCTTTTGCATTTTTCTTAGAGCAACTCTCATCTATTGGCATAATAAGTGTCAAGCTGTGGTCTCTAATTCCACTACAAAGTCCGAGTATCACGTGATGGCATATACTACTGTTGATCTAAAATAGCTTCACACTCTTTTGAGAGATCTTGGTGTCTCTGTTACTTCTCGCATCACTCTTCACCGCAATAATCAGAGTGTCATCTCCATTTCTACAATGCAGTGTTCAATAGGCGTACTAAACATATTGAGGTGGGTTGTCATATAGTTCAACAGGAGCATATTCTTCAAAGCATTTCACTCTTGTATGTTCCAACTAAGGATCTAGTGGCAGATTTATGTACCAAAACACAGACTATTCCTCAAATCTGTTATTTCATATTTAAACAGTCGGGTTAAGATCTATCGTGAGTTAGAAGAGGCAATGTTAGATAACATCATTACAGCCATCGTATAAGCATGCCTATGTTAGATATCATCATGTATAAGCATATACAACCGCCTTATCAGCATGTACAGCTTGTGGGGCTGTCGGTTGGTCTGTGTGTAAACATAAGCTAAGGAATCTGTAAACCACAATAACAAGCTCTCCTTCATAGCAATTATCATCGACATTTGCATCTTTGACAGTTCATGGGTTGAGAAAGAGATCTTAATATTGATGAAGTTGCAATTTCTTAAAGTACAGAAAATGAGACAACTATTTGAAAAAGGAGAAGAAAGAATAGATCATAGGAAGAGAACAAAGAAGGCAAAGTTCATACATGTGTCCATCTCTTACATCGAAATCCATCTCTTACATCGAAACCCTGTGAAGATCCATACTGATGTATAAATGAAGTTAACGGTTTTGTTTAACAAGAGAGGGTTCGGTAATCAAAAGATTATAATAACTACCCCTTTTAAACCTTGTAAGCATCTCTTGTATTTTCTTATGCTAAGACTCGGGGTTCATTCTAGGCCAACTTCAGATGTTCATGAATGTTCTATATTTCAATATTATATCCAGCTAGCATTTTTCGACATGCGTAGTAGATTCTACTGCAAATTTTGCAGTCAACAATTAGCCTAGCCAATTTTCTTCAAGTTAATTTAAATAACAATGAATTATTCTTATGTGAACTCCTTTATATATCCGGGATAACTCATACCCCTGCTCCATTTATCTTGCCAGTCTCTCGCTTGAGATGACGCGCTTGATATTTTCTTACGAAAACAGCCGAGCATCGTCAGCTTCTCACAACAGAGAAAGCGACCTGTTTCACTCAACTAATATCTGTCGAATTAACATTAGCAAACTCAGTTTTACTTTCATCAACGCTTACGCAGAACTATACACCATGGTAGGCCGATGATAGAGCTTCACATGCCCTCTCAAAAGCTCAGATCCTTTTATCCATCAGAGAACAATCCTTGTGGAGCTACAAACATAAGCTCTACAAATGGCTACAACAAATATTTACATAACTTGATACATCATATTTTCCATTTCTTCAGGAATCAACATTCATTCCCAAACCAATTCAGGTTAGTGTAAGTACAAGAGGTCTCTCTACATCCATAGACCCTCACCTGCCACTTACATAGGAACACTACCCCCTCACCATAAACAAGAAGAAGAAAATCGCCCACCAAGCAACTCATAAAGAAAAAGCAGCAGCATTCCCTCCTTGCCTTTGCTGTCATTTGATAGTTATGTACCGGTTCGTCCCATGCTTAGCCCAGTGATCCTTGAGATCAACCGGCACCGAAAGATCATGCCCTTCAGCTGCCAACCGACTCAATAACTTCGTAAAGACAGTCCCACTCATCTTCCTCCCTCCCACACGAGCATGCCTTTTATTTGGCATCACCGGCAGAGGGTACATTGACAGTGTCGTCGTGCAACATGCCGATTGCCACCCACCATTTCCCCACTTGTAACATGGCTGGTACTTACCCGTGCACGAGCACACAGGCACAGGCATCGTTGACTCATCAAACGTAACTTGGTTTAAACCCAAATCTTGATCTTTCCACTCATTATGGTGCTTGGTACCTTGCTTGTTGTTTAAGTTCTCTCCACTACCTCCCATCTCGTTTCTCCACTCATCAAGTGGCTTCACATATGTTGCTTGCTTGTTTAAATCCTCACCTCCAAAACTCCTCTTACCCTTTCTTGACTTTGTCTTCCTGGGTAGAGCACTGGCCTGGGGTTGAACTTGAGCTCTAGTATCCTTTCTTGGTCGTTTCACCTTTCGGACCATCACAGCTCCTTCTGAAGCAGTCGAAATGGGATATGCCTCAGTTACATGCATCTCTCTCGAGTGATTATAGGGATCGTTGGCTAGCTGTGGTGGTGATGGTCCAGGGTGGACATGAAGGCTTTGCTGCTGCTGATGGTTATGGTGGTGGTGGTGAGTGTGCTTCATTCCACGGGAAGCAGAGCATCCAGAAGGGCAACCGGAGATACTACTGTTTGCATTCATGCCGTTCTCTCGCGCGTACTCGAGAGCTGCAATGGCGTTATCACGTTCCATGATGGCAGCATTGCGCTCGGCAATTGCAGCGTCTCTTTGGAGGATGGCCATGTCACGCTCGGCCTGGGCCGCCTTCTTTTCAGAGAGGGCTATGTTGCGTTCTTGGATGGCATTATCACGTTCAGCCATTACGGTCATGAGTTTTATGGCCTGGCTGTCCTTCATTTGATGTTGCGGCATCATCCACTGTATTGTCACCAAAAATTATGTAAGAAATAGTAGCATTCGAATAATGACAGAGTGGTACTACCACTAGAATAATGATAGTGCTGTATCATGGTTTATTTTCTAATATCAACAAAATGTTTTGTTCCATAAAAGCTACAAAATCGAACCAATCTCTTTGAGCAGTGTAAACATTTCTTGGAAAAAATTCACTTCCCAGTACTCAATGATATAACCTTGAATGCTAGGTCTGCATCACTCCCTAATGCTCAATAATTTAACCTTGAAAGCTAGGTCTGCATCATAAAGATTCTGAGAGACATCAGGATATATAATCTCCTCCAGATTGAAAATTATGCCCAAACGAGATATACAGAAGATTATCAAGTGGATGAGAAAGGCTGGTGTTGCTATACTTATGGGTAGATATTCAATGGAGAGTACACAAGATTATCAAGTGGATGAGAAAGGCCTGTATTGCTATAGTTATGGGAAGATATCCAAGGAGGATATCATATTTTAGCATTCCAAGACCCTGACAGTCTAACCAGTGTTCTATCACTGTATAATCCTTTAAATTGTCACGGATCAAGAAATGTAACTAGAGATATATAAATCCTGCGTCCAAAATATAACTAGTTATAGCCGGATATAAAACTCAAGCAATATCAAACTACATATCTAAAGTCAGGCTTCTGTTTAAGATGAATGATTCATCAACATACCAACATGTTTTCATAAACAATAAAAAGAAAATATTCCAGAGAAGGCAGAGATTAGTCAAGCAAAGTATGTGACAATACCTGAGTGTGAATTGATTTGTAATGATCTGCCTTGTGCCTCCCATTTTCCCTCTGATTGTCATCCATCATCACACTTACTTTCAGCAAAAATATTAAAGAGATGCTTATACCCGCTGCAAGACAGATGCTTATACCCGCTGCAAGACCTAAAAGAAGAATTTATTCAAAATATCATCTCGTGCATGATTAAGAGGATATACATTTTAACCTTGAGAAGAACATCTTAAAACAAGAACACTAGTGGAATCAAAACTAAAGCTAGGCTCCAAAGAAGAATCATCTGCATTACATGAAGCAATAAAGAAGCCTCATCACTTACAATCATCAGAAGTCCAAGCCAAACTCTTGTTGAGATGCCATGGAAGCCTGGATTAAACAAGGTATGCATAGAGTAAATTGCTAGCTCATGAAAGTGTTCCCAAATTTTGCACCATCAATATAACAGCAAGTTTTTACTATATAAATATATCCTCCAGGCTCAAATAAGTAAAATACGTAGAAGAGTGATATTGGTATGTATGTTCTAATCTTTTTCTACGCAAGGAGAGGTTGTATCCTTTTCCCATTTCATGCACTTTCATTCCTCACATAACACTATTCTCATCTTGCTACTTGAATGTTAATAATTAAAAGAAGCAATTAGGCAAATAAGAGGTCAATATCCGGCCAAGAAAAGATTATGAATGATTTTAGGGTTTCCTCCATGTTCTATGAAGGGTAAGGATTGAATTTGGCCCCACACTTATAGGAATCATGAAAGACAGATATTGCAGTTGCGAAGGATGGAACAAGAACAAGAACCGGAGTAACATTTTATGCATTTCACATCTTTCTCTTCCACACTTCATATTAATCTTTCTTGTCAATTGAGTTGTAAAAAGAAAAAAGAAAATTCTAAGGTGCTGGTGTTCTTCATTATTCATGCATAAGTACTTGTACATCTAGACCTTTTTCTATATATACGAAGATTTGAAGTACTATACCTCTATGACCAAAAAAAAAAAAGGTAAGCATCACCGTGCACTGGGCATACTTTCATTTTTTCCTGCTCTAGTTCTCAGGTCAAAGGGAAGAATATCTTCTAACAAACCATATCATTGATAATCAGTACATGCATATTATATTAGATTGACGGATCACATACTCTTTACAGTTTAAAAGTGAGAAAGATGATGCAAGAAGCGCTTTAATGTCCCAATTTAAAAATAGGAATATTGGGTTATGTTTCTGTTTCACAACTTCACAAATAAATAGTGACCGAAACCATGGAATATCAAGGAAAGCAATCTAAAAAATGGAAAACACCCTTTTCCTTACTAAGAAGCTTTTATTCTTTAATTTTACAAAATTGACTTGTAAACATCAGCACTACCAGCAAGTATTGAAATTAATCAGGAGCTATCCCTACCTATATCCAAACCTCTTCACATGCATAAACCACAATCTCATTACATGGAGCATTTAACTATATCAAAGCTCTACTAGAAGCTCAGTTCAAATAACTCAATGCCAATGTTACACAAAGTGCTGGGCCTGATAGGCGCCTAGGCGGGCCTAAGTTGATTTTCTTTTTTAGCTAGAAGTGGAGGAGATTTTGCTAAAAGGATAGAGGAAGTGGAGGAGGTGCTCAGAGTTGGTGGGGGAAACCAGATTGTGACCTCTGCTTTGCAGTCCGCACAATCCATGCTCCCCTAGGCACTCCCAAGACCTTGGTAGGCAGCCTAACACTGCCTAGGCCTAGGCGAGAGCCAAGATCACTTTTTTTAAAAACAATGCTCAATGTACAGAAAATTCAACACCTTTATAGATCATACTTGAATCATGGGAGGGCATATCTTTAGCATTTTTTATTCTTCAAACAGATTGCCTTAACAAGATACAGTTTTCATGGTTTAATTATCTATTCGTGATGACAACACCACACACATCAAGCCATCATGACCATTAGTAAGGGTTTTATAAGCTTCCATTTTGGCATATTACTTAACTGCGCACAGTTATCTTACTCATGAACATCCAAATCATGATCCTAAACTTTCCTTGGAGAAGTTTGCCTTACTCTAGTAATTGGATTATGAGTTGACTACAAACATAAAGCTAATTTCCTACTGCAGCATGTCAGTCTTAATTGAAAGCGTCCACTCTAAATAAATTGTACTTGAAAGATCTAAAATGTGCATGACAGAATAAAGAATGTACCTGCCAAGAAAATGTTCACATAAGTGGCTTTGACAAAAACTCTGAAAGCATCACATCTTCATCAGAAAAAATAAGCCCAGAAAGACAAAACTCTCAACTCGCGATATTGACTGGAGCTGTAAGGAGTATAAAAGAAAGTTTTCAAACAATTGTTCAACAATGCTATAACAATTTGAAAAGAAGTTCACACTTGAGTAGAATATGTCATAACAAAATCTAAGAAAAGGCAGCCTAGCGCTTGAAGCTCCTGCTATGTGCAGGGAGGAAAGGGGTTAGACCACATTGAGCCTACTGTACCATCTTACCTTGGATATTTTTACAAAATGGTTGCTCCCATTATCTAGTACTTCATTAGTTTGCACTTAAATTAGGAAGACATTGCATATGTAATAATAAAAAGTGTACCTATATGCAATGTTCCAAAGTACAAATTATGCAACGTCTTACTCGCCTAGTTACTTGGATGCAGCCTAAAAACATTTGGATTTTAGAGAAAGCGCTCCATTATTCAGCCATCTGCATAATCGAGCACTTTTTAGTTATTTGCCCACAAAAAGTTTATGCGAGCATCTTTTCTTTTTAAAAAACTGTTGCGTAAAATCCATCAAAGTGAAATCCAACCGGCTTAACCTATTTTAACAAAAAGCCCTAGCCCTAAACTCATCCCTTAACCCGACGTCTTCTCTCTCAGTCCTCCATCGTTCCCAAAAAATGTCGCATGCGAGCCGCTGCAACATCTTCTTCGACCCTCACCTACCATCGTCAATGCTCGCCGACAATCTCCAACATTATCCGACTCTCCATGAAACTCTCCCAAACTCCACGAAGCTCTCCAACAAACCCTTTTTTCCCCAACAGAGCAATTGAAAGCTTTGCACTTGATGATGTGACTGATGAAGAGCTTAATGGAGATGACGTTGATGAGGAGTATAATATAATGATTTTGACGCTCCCTCCGAAGAAAAGTAGGATGCTAAAGTTTGCATTGAGAATGATGAGGTGGACTATATGATTTATTCTAGGTTTATAAAGTTTGAGTTTTTGTGTAAGTGTTTAATTTAATGACTTTTATTTGAGTATCTAGTTAATGTTGATATATGGATTGAATTTTTAAGTAGTTGCTAGTTATTGATTGTTCAATTGAATGTTTATTGATCTTTTTCACAGTCCACTTTCTATTGCTCATGAATTTTATGTATTTTAACATATGATAAATAATAAATTATAAATATATATTGTGGAACTAAAAAATGCATAATTCTGTGCATAATTCGATTAATTGTTACTCACTCCTAAACCGCACACATAAAAAATCGTGGTTTTGAACATTGCCTGTATACTAGGAAATACATAACAAACTACATTTTGTAACAAGGAAATCGTAAAAGTTCATGGAATAATTATTAGGTACTTATAGATTTTGCTCATTTGTCACTTAAATAACTAAGATGTTATAACTACACATGAATAGTGGATTGACGAGGCTATCATGATTCATCAACTTATATGCAATTGTACTAGTTTCTCCCTTTTTGCTTAATAAATTTTAAAAAAAATTGTTTGTGATTTGTGAGGGTTTATGCATACTAAAAAGCTTTAAGTACCCAATAATCTTTGGTTTCCAAACTACGGTATTGTTTTACTATGTAATATGCAAGTTCTCAAATTTCTTTAGTTTCCACATTATTAGTGATTTACTAGGTTAAGGTTCATTTTCTTAAATGAGCTACCAAGAGAACAATCACACATACATGTGTGTATGACAATAATGGGTATACTTGGTACCAACTATAAAATTGGTGCTTAGCAGTGATGTTAGGGTTGGGCATGAACCTGTTCAAATACCTAGCCGAATAGGCCCAACCAGATTTAGGTCAAAACCCGACTAGGCCCACGTTAGGTCAAGCCCAACCCAGCCCACATTGAAGGCGAGTCGTGGGCTGAGCAGGGTTTTAATCAGACCTGGTAACAAAGAGGCAGGCCCAGCCCACCAGTGACCTAGTCTCCTAGCGAATCCAGCCTAGGTTAACTATTAATGTGTATTTTTTATTTGTTAACAAAACTAAAAAAATTAATCTTAAAATCCCACTAACCAAGTCTAGTGACTAATACAACAATGTACAAATCAAGTATATATGTGCGTTTGCGATGTTTTTCTGTTTAATGTTTATCTTTGTGCAACACATATGATGGTATAAATAAAAAGTTTAATATAGTTTAAAAAGGAAAAAATAAATTAAAGAGTTCGAAATAGGAAAAAATAAATTAAATATAATTGTATAAATATAAATACAAGTTTAATATAGTTTAAAAATGAAATACTAGAAAAATAGAAAAAAGGGTCATGTGTCGTTTCTAGCTCG